AATTGGGATCTTCTGCCCCTATGCTTTGCGTATCTGCCTCGATTTTCATCTATCTTACTCCGTTTTCGAGATCGAGGAAAGACAGACGGACGGACGACAGTGAGAATTTATAGGTCTACAAGTTTTTAAATTGCAGTCCAATAACGTAATTTATTGTAAGACTTTAGCGCTGTGGCAAGAAGGACGTGTATCAGTTTTTTTTCGTCATCAAAAAATGAATAGTTAACTGACGAAATTCGATATAAATTTCAGATAATTTTACTAAATGTTTACTAGAAATAAGAATTGTTTTGTATTATATCAATTATATTCTTTTTTTAGAGCAGTTATTGCTTCACATAAGTACACAGATGATGCAAAACAGTTATCAAACCTGTCATAAATATAGGCTAGTTCATAGTAATCATATTCATTATCACGTAAGAAAAGTATATTCTACCTCCCATGTGTTTAAAACTTAAAAATTTTAAAGGTTGATTCCAATAAAAATTGTTAACTGCAAATTAAACCCTCCGCTTGTCGCAGAATTGATTGAGCTGCGTAAAAACTAGATGTAGGTCAATTGTTACACTATCTTCGGCCTTTTTCGTATCGTTAAAATCTGCAAGAGCTTACACTTTAATTCTGTTAGTTTAAATTTATATAATTTTATTAGAATCGAATTTATATTCGGGGTGTGTTTTGTGTGTTTAATATATAGCCTAATATGATTTTTATATCGTCCGAATTATGACAAAAGGGGACATTTGACACGTTTTCGTAACGTAGGAGGGTTTTTTAACAGTTGGATGATACTAATGTTGCAGGAAATAGTGTGTTTACTTTTCATTGTGGTTTAAGTTCCGTTCTCGATATCACGCCCCAAATTTACAGGTTGGCATTTGTATCATCTTGTAAGTTTTTTTTTATGCAAAGGGTGAAAATAATAACGTATAAATGTAGCCGGTCACGAATTGTAAATGTAAAAATGCCGCCTTACGTGATTTTTATTTAGACTTTCATTTATCATTTTCTCTAAACAGCGCCGAAGGGTCAAATATTGATTGGTGCGAAAATTTACCAAGAGATGGCGCCAGTTAAAATTACTTTTCAAATTTTACTAATAGTGTATGACATCACATCCGGTTGTAAATAAGGCACGAGATGTGACTGTTTCGATTTTCTAAAAATCAGCAATGAAGAAAATAATTTCGAAACTTATAACTTTGTTTAAAACACCTAAATAGTCCATTAAAACATATTAATATGTAGACAAAAGATTTATTTGATATTTACCCCGTTTTGCTCATTGTGTTATTGAGTAAACTACTGTCGAAATCTTCAAAGAAACCCTCCCATTCATTTAGATACCATAGAATTAAACAGGTTATCAGAAAACCCACATATATCCTATCCCTAAACGGTTTAGCCTATTTTTATAAAGTTATCTTGTTTATATAATTCCTAAATAGAACGGTTTTAAAAAGTATTCCATGGTCGAAATTCGAATTTATTTTATAATCATTTTCATTGATCGCGAAATTCATTTAATGATTCTCATCGTTAAAACCTTAGCTTATATTTTTATATAGGCCAATGCCAGTAACTCTAATGTCGAAATAACTTTTTAATGGTTCTTTTTTTTTATAATATCGCATTAATATATTGTTTTTGCAGTTGGCATAGAATTAAAATTTTAAAATATAATAAACTGTATAAAATTATTTCGCAAGAAAATGAAAATAAATTATTGCGTATTTAAATTATATATGTATTTTTCTGTTCGAAAGCGAATTTTGTATGCAATGTTATGAAAGTTAACAGATTCTAGAATATTTTAAAACGTTCCTGTCGAATCTACATTGGATCCATTCGTAAACTACAACCGAACTGAGTTTTACTATAGTTTTAAAGGTAGGGATTACTACTATTAAAATAAGTGCATATCGTAAATATCGGTGTGTATGACACAAATATTATCGTTGGCAATAACTAAGAGTGATTAAATTCAAATACAAATTGCGTGTATCGATTACAGAATAGCTTTCCGCTAAAGTTTCGACAAAACTCCATTGAGAATAGTTTACAGTATAAAGGAATTGTCATTCGCCAACTCAAATACTAAATGTAGCGTAATAAGGGAAGAACGATCTTAGTTTTCTTATGACGCCAACAAAAGAAAGTGGCGTCACGTTACGTCAAATGACGCGAACGTCACTTAATTCCATCGTAGAGATTACGAGTCGACCCCGTTGTGACATCTGGCTTTCGAAGAGCGTTTGTACGTTAAAATGAGGTCGTACGTTGTGCAACACCTCTTCTCCGATATAGGCCACTCGGGCTGTATGTTAGTGTGTATCCAGTTCAAGAGCATGCTAGTGAGATCTCGCTTTCCCTAGAAACTCTCACTATCAACGTAATGTCAATTTTCTAATAAAAATAGGTCACCCACTTTTCTACAGCAACCGTCCCATTTTCTTGTTTGTAGTTTTCTCATAACGTTCTCTACCTTCGATCTATTCCGTGTCATTAATTGTCCAGATATCCGTTTTTCGGGTTTTTTTTAACTCGAAATTCTCCTCTTCGCGTGTATGCGGCACTCTTGTTTAAGCGACTTGCTTAACTGGTCTAGAATAAGTTGCCTTTTTTTTTATATACCCCCTGTTACAAATGCTGTTTATATAGCTTATTGTATGTTAATATCTAATTTTAATTGACAATAAACATTGAAAATATCATCTTTGTCAGTCTGGTAACGTTTCGTCAATATTATAGACTTTTCTACCTTTATTTGAATATTTTAATAAAAAATAAATGCGGAGATCAATTGATTTTTGTTATCCAACGATGCAAGTTACTCGAAACATTTGCCTTACCCGATTATATTATATACATGTATACATTCAAATTATATTTTTCTGGATATTTTCTTAATTTATATTAAAATATGTACAGAATATAGTAATTAATTTTAATGTTTAGATATGATTTAAAACATCGAGAAGCATTCAAATTGTATCATATTAAACCAGCTGTTCGGTATAAAAATAATATTTCAATTAAAAGATTTGCCTAGTTTTAATCTGAAAAATATTAGCCATTTTGTACGTATTAAAATTTGCATTTATTTATTGAGGTTATAAATTAGCTATTCGCGATTTCTACGTTTTTATCAATGTTTTAACTTTATTACAAATCTTTACGAAGAGAGACGTTTTACAAAACTTATTCATTTGAACGATTATAGCTGTTTCCATATAAAACTATTCGATAACAATTCCTTATAATAGACTTAATGATGGTGATGATGATAATTAAATGTAATTTTTTGGTAAAATGTAACGAAAAATAAACTATTACTACTATATTTATAGTTAGATATTATTTTTAAGAAAATAAAAATAAAATAAATTATTACGATATTTTATCTTTTTAAATATCGTAGAAAGATTTAGGCTATGAACTTAATTACAACTAGTACATTCTTAGGTTGGAATAAACCCAAGTGGTTTTTGACTTTTGGATAAGTTTGTTTATAGTAAAAACTTAAATGATTTTTAGTTTGTTTTCTTAAAGATAAACTTAGAAAATTGTTTTTAATCCATAAAAAATCATGTAGATCATTAATAAACTTCCATAAAATTATCTATTAATGGCGTTTCGTTCCTATATCGATAAAATAATTTTTTTCATCTCTAGAATTGAAAATTTTGTTTGCTTAATTAAATAGTAGACTAATAATAAATTTTTATTTTTATTTTTAATTTATTATATAATAGTGGCAGATATACGTGTAAACATATATATATTAGTTTAATTAATGTATTTTTATTATTCTCTTCTTAAACGTTATACATTAACATACATAAATTGAAATTCGCTTAGATGATGTCTTCTCTTTAAGAATCGCACTAAAATTTTCCGACAGAAATATTTATTAATGGATTTACGAGAAGTAAAATTAGTAATAATGTAAATGTAAACAAAGAATAAGAAAAAAATATATATATGCAAAGCGGAATAGGATGAAAAAATCATAAGAATGTATCAGTTTTACAATATTGATTTTGTTTTTTTAATGTCATGTATCGATTAGATGGACTTTTCATTATAAAATCATATAGTAATTTTTTAAAATCTTTCTAAACTGAATAGTAAAAAAAGATAGAGTTTTATCAATCAATAGTAATCGAGAACAAATTGAATAACGCATCATTTCATACGTGAAACCATTCATGAATTAAACGGGAGAGATACTCCTTAAAAACTAAAGGTCACAGAGAGGAGTAAAATACATAATAAAAGAAATGTTTTAAAAATTACATCATTTTATGTATTTCGGGATAATAAAATTTGAATACAAGAATAAAGTCTTATTATTATCTCAAATGTTAGATTCGTAGTTTACTGTAACTTTGAACAATTCCATATGATAGTATTATGCGATAAGTGAAAACGTCACATTATTTTCATTCAGATAATCGTAAAATTGATTATATGTTTTGAAAATAGATAAAGATACATATTTATTTTTTTTAGAGAGATATATAATCGGTATAAAATTGTGCGTAATAGATTTCTTCGTATTATTATTTTTTTTATATAATTAAAACGTTTAAAAAGAAATTTGAAAGAAGAAAATTAATAGGCAAGTTGAGGCTCGGTTTACAGAGATTCACTAATGTATAGCATTAACTAACGTATGTTATTTAGTAGTAGAAAATGGAACGTTTAGAATTGAGTTGATTGATGGAGTTCGTTCATTCTATTAAGGGAGTCTAAATTCCTAGTTAGAATGAAAATTGACTTAACGTTTAAAAAGTTATACACTAATAAAATAATTAATAGTTAATAGCTCGTAAAAAAGAAATAATTTATTAATTTGATGTTAAACTTAATCGATTTTTATTATCGATTTGCAATTTTAATATTAATTGTTGCTTTAAATACACGAGTGATGGTTTTTTTTTTTTTGAAAAATACGATATTCCCGGAATTCGAATCTAGTCTCACGGCCCCAATTGCTGACATAACATTGAAGCGATCCCTCCTTCCAATTACACAACTTTTCTCACTGAAACGAGATGTCGTCATTCGCAACGCGCTCGAAATCCGAACGTTTTTCGCATAAGAGAAAGTGAGAATTAAAAAAAAATAAATAAGAGTCGTTTTGTAACGACCGCTACGCCATCCAACCCACCCAGCTGGTTGTTAAGCTGCCATCAACCAGCCATTGGCTAGAAGTGGGTCAGGCTGGTTGCGCCGACTCAGTCGCTTCTGACATAGACCCACTGGGTCGGCTCTATACTTGTAGGTCGTATTAGTTGGTCGCTCACCATTCACGCCATCACCACCAGAAACGGCGTTCGCACTTTCGTTAACGGTATGAAATTAAATCGTTGAAAGTGTGTCTAGTATCTCCTGCGTCATGTACCGATTACATGTTGATAAACCCTCTTGATGATACAACGCGTTTGTCAACAATGATATCTTCAGCGTCTCTCATGGATACTTCTGCATGTTTTTTGCCAGCTACCCCATCGATGTTGTCTGGACCGACTCCTACACCGACGGAGTATCATCACGACACTCCGGACACCAAAGAAGGGATTGAAGAACTTTGTCCCGTTTGTGGCGACACTGTGTCGGGTTATCATTATGGTCTGTTGACGTGTGAATCTTGTAAAGGTTTCTTCAAACGGACAGTGCAGAACAAGAAAGTGTACACGTGTGTCGCAGAAAGGAAATGTCATATAGATAAAAGTCAGAGGAAACGTTGTCCGTTTTGCAGATTTCAGAAATGTTTAGAAGTTGGCATGAAGCTCGAAGGTAAGTTTTCTTTTCTTTAAATTTATATCTGCTTTTGTTATCACGTGTCACCAGAAAGAATAGTTTGATTTTCGTGTAGCTATCCTGACGTGAAATGGCAGGTGGAACCTGCTGGTTTCACAGGTGGTGCACGTGTCATGAGAGAGAGAGAGAGTCCTCCGATATTATTATTTAATTTTCTTAAGTGATCTCGAAGACGTGTAAAAAGTAATTTTTCAGAATAGCTGTCGTATTCGAATGTAAAAGATTTAGATTTTTATCTTTTTTGTTGTATATCGTCTGTTCCTTGAATAAATTATAAAAACTACTGAATCAATAGTCAGTTCTAAAGAAAAGTATTGTCATGGTTGGTTTCGCTTTTCAAAAAATAGAGGACAAGGCTAAATTTTGTCGAGAGTGAAAGTGAAGTTATGCATGAACGTGATATACAAAGGACGATAAGATATTATTAATGCGACTAATTATAAATTCTGTCTCTCCAAGTTTGAAATGAGCTAAACAACTTTACGACAGGTGTGCTTTTCTCAAAAGTATTTTAGAAGTTACCGAATAATCCGTCCCCTTAACGGCAGTTTTGCCAGCAGCGATAACATTGAATTATTTAAGTGGTTTGCGGCCAAATCCTAAGTACTCCAGATGTTTTTGTAGCTAATACCATTAAGTATGATGATATTCGTCCTGCAAATTTCATGTAAGATTTTTATTATTTAATGTTTAGGAATTTCGTATTAATTAATTCTTCTTCGGTTCGACTTCTTAATGAATTAATTTAGGAGAATCTGTTACGTCATCTCGATTTAAACATTCTAAATATTCCGAAATAAATTACGTTAAAAACTAAAAATATCACAATAAATTATGGTGGCATGTTTTAGTCAATATTTTATAAGCTTAAGACTTCGGCTCTTAAATATAAAAATATACAGTAAGAATTAAATTGATTAAAAAAAGAACAATTATAAACATTAGCCATTTGTTTTGAGAGAGATTAGTTTAGATACCACGTGGTTTTTTTCTCTTTTTAAAACGACAGAGACTTTCTCCAATTTTTATCTTGTTCTGGAATGAAAATTGGGTCGACCCCCTGTTTTTTTAACCGGAGGGTCTTTGGTATAGACGTAATTCGTTTATAAAAGAACGGGTGATTCCATTTATCGACGACCAAAAACCCGGTAGATGAGTGACATCGCATCCGGTTTGTTTGTATGTCCGTGACGCGTCGCTTCCCGTTTCTCTCTCTCGCGTGACGTCACAGTTCGCGCATGGCGAATTTGTTCAGTCGATTTCGCTTCCAACGTGATAGTTGTCAGTGGGTTAGTAGGTCTGCGATGATTCACGAAGAATTTACTCAATAGTTTTTACTTTCTTAAAGTAATTTAAGATTGTTCATAACTTAATTTAACATAATACATATGACCGATAAGTTTAGCAAACAATAATAAAGTAATTTCACCATAAAAACGTAATAATAATAATAATGGTGTGTTTTATAACGTTGCCACATGTTTTTGTTTTATAAATCTCTCGACGCAATTTTATGAACTTATGAGGCTAAAGTCAAATCGTCATTTCCGTTAACGCGCCTATACGTAATTGCGTGTGTGATCAGCTGTAAGTCTATATTGATAAACGACAGTTATGTTTGTATTGACGGCGTAATGTAGCCTCATTCCTTGCAAAGTGGGTCAGTGGGTCTTCAGACGAAATTGAAAGTTAGTTTAGGCGATGCTAAATTTAAATTGGGTCCTGGATATGGATGGAATAATTTACTTTCACTTCTTCTAATGCTTTTTTCCCTTTCCTTTCCCCCTTTTTTTAAGTTTAGAATCGTGTCGTACGGCATCTTTTTTTAAGTGTTGAATAGAATAAATTAAGTTTGTAAGTAAGAGATGCCAGGTGGTTTTTTTTTCTATTTATAATGGAAATATCTAATTTGCATGCGGGCTACTTCTTTAAGCGGGACTATATATATATAAATAACATATATGTGAGTATGGTATTTAATTTTACGGAAATGAATTTGTAGAAAGCTGATTATATTTTGAAATGCATAAAATAAGAATGTAATTGTTAGAATACGCTTTACATTCTGGTGTTACGTCTTACTTTCCATCGGTGATCATTTAAAGATACAGCATGAACCTATCTATATGGAAATGTTCCAGTTCGAGAACCCAGACCACACCCATAACTCAGCATCTGACTTTCAAGGCTATCATTTAACCTACTTACCTCGTTTGGAACTGATTTGTAATCAACGGATTCTCAATACAAGTTATTTATTCGAACAAATTAGTTTTTGTTATTCAAAATTTTGAAAAAGTGAAATGATAAAACAACAAGATGGCTGCGTTAGCGGGCCAACTTTTGTACTCGAATCTTCTCGAAAATGTTGATAGAGTAAGCATTCTTTTCCAGTTAATTTCTTATATTTTCAGTGTTTATATTTATTAACGTATGAAATATTTAAAGTACTTTTTAAAAAACTCGAATGAATTGTTCGCCAGTTACAATAGTAAATATAAATCGCATACACTAAATATAAAAGCAAAGATGAACGAAGTTATTCATAATATGCACAAAAATATATATACGTGTGCGTGTACTATGAATGAATTTCGTCGTCTTTGCTTTTGAAAAGGAAACAAAAAAAAATTTAAAAAATGAAAGGTTTTATCCTTGTTTCTATATAATTGTTTCGTGTAAGAAGAAAACAAGATTGAAAAGAAAGGAATCAAGATTAATAAATGAAAAGGAAAAAAATTACTCAGGATTAATTACTAACATGCAATAAAGAGAGGGAGAAATTACCGGATGGCGAAGTAAAAGTGGGTCAAAAGAACAAGTAGGTCTGTGTGCCAATGTCACGTGGTTAGTGGCACGTGACGCGCGAGTGGGAATGCTGATCGATAGCCGTCACGTGATTAGGAGCGAGTTCGTTGCTATCGCAACCGGGAAGATCGAAATCATCTCAATTTTTAAATGGTTTTTTATTAGTATTATTATTATTTAGGTTATACGAAATTTTATTACGCGATCGCCTACCGAATTTGAAAATGATATCTTGTTTAGAATTACTATTTTCCATTTCGATTTATGTAACCGCCGTCATTGCAAAAATAGAATTTGAAAATTTATTCGAATATTTTATAGTTAAAATTTCGAGAAAGAGAGAAAAAAAATTAACTTCGAGCATATTTTTCCTTAAGCGTAAAGAGATTATTAAATATAATTTTTTTTTTAAGTTTTCCTCGTTTTATTAAAACATTATTCGAAATGTTTGAATTTGAGATTGTCTCTACCGACGACAGCGCTGTCTGTCGGCCGTCGATTCAATTACAATTTTGAAAATTTAGTTTTAATTTAAAAAGAAAAGTTTTGAAAAAAAAATAAACAAACATTTTTAATATATGCTTCTGGAATTATAATATCTCGACTTACGATATTTTATTAAAGATTTAACAAAGTTAATGGTATAATTTCTAGCATTTAAAAGCCGCTCTTCTAAGAACAGGACTAGTCTTTTATGTAAATGAACCTACACAAACTGGTCACTTTTCTGCTCGTATGAATAATTATTTTATATTAACGAATAGATTTAAACATTTTATAAACATTGGTCAGTTTTTAAGAAAGGAAAAAACGTGTATAAAATAATTTTGAATTATTTAAAAAAATTTGTACCGAAAACGAATTTATTCGAGGGTTTACTATAGATTTTTATATAATTATATAAAGTTGCAAGCATTTACAGTAATTTAAGTAGCGATTTCATGATATCATTCATTAAATTTGATGTTCGGGAATCGATTTTTACGTTATGTTTTAGTAATATTTAACAATTAAAGGAAGCTGTGCAGTTGTAGCTATCAGTTTAGATTATGAAGATACGAAATCGTTTCACGCTTATAACAAACTGGTGGGAGGTTATTTTTAATAATTAAACGTTCTTTATAGTCGTAGAACTGTCGATTAGATTATAATGGAATAAGCTTGTTGTGTTTTTCTCGTTTATCGAATTAAATGGAAATTTTATTCGATTATTCGCTCTTGCACTAACAAGTAAGTTGCTATTGCAAACAACAATAATAATGCCGTTTGAAGATTTTTGTTAAATATTTTAATGTGACCCGCACTCGGCGTGTAGACTTCAATATAAACTATGTGACCAATTAAAAAATGGCGATCCAGACAGGAAAATTGCGTATGGCCCTCTTTATCGGCCAAACATTAAGCATGCCTTTAATTTTATGTTCTATGTATAAAAAAAAATAAGCGTTTATGTTTATGAAATTTAATTATTTCAATTTGAACTTTAATAGTTTATAAATACTCTTATGATGTAAGCGGTGACATATTTGAAGTATTTAAATTAATGAACAGATTTGTAATTTAACACTTATATGAGATGTTAAAAGTCGTTTAACATTGTTTTTTTTTCCTCAATTTGCTATATTTAAATCTATTTTTAGCAAATTGCACGTATTCTTCGGAGAGAGTAGCAGAATTGACGTCAGTAAACAGTAAGAATTTATGAATTTTAGTTAATACGGAAGATGATGAAATTTAATAACGTGATTTAAAAGATGAAAAGTTTTAGCCTATTGTGTAAATTTTTCCATGGTAGAATGCCAGAATCGAAATGATTGAGATATTTTTACGTGTGTAGCTTTATTAATTTATTGTTTTTGGTGTTTTCAGCTGTACGTGCAGACAGAATGAGGGGTGGAAGGAACAAATTCGGACCAATGTACAAAAGGGACAGAGCTAGGAAATTGCAGCTTCTGCGCCAAAAGCAATTAGCGCGTAACCAATGTCAAGGGGTCCCGGCGACGGAAGGAGGAATGAACAATCCTTTGCCTTCGCATCCTCCTTCATTCACAGCTTCGACAGGACCGGCGGGTGTTACGGCCCCTCAACAACTTTATTCTCCAGAAACCGTCTCTATGAAACAAGAACTTATTCAAATCCCTCACCTGAGTTCGTCTACGAATTCGCCCGAATCTTCTCCTTCACCTCTCTCTGCCATCATCCCTGTCACTACTCTAGGAAGTCACTATAGTGGGCCACAACCGACCAGAATTCATCCACAAGCACCAGTGGTACAAGAACCATCGAAATTAACTTGGGTCACGTCACACGCGCCACAAAACACAACACCGTCGCCTGGTCATGGTGCATCGCCGCCTGTTACTAATGCGGCACCCTCTCCCAAAACTTACCACTACGATGTTCCGTCCGCTGCAAATGTTCCACCTCCTTCGGTATCGTTAATGACAGGAATCGGAAAAATTCCGAATTTAATTCGGGAATTCCAATCCTGCATGGCCGACGATAAGGATTGGCAGAACCAAGTTTATAGTTTATTGCAAAGTCAGAGTTATAATCAGTGTGAAGTGGATCTGTTCGAACTGATGTGCAAAGTGATTGACCAATCGCTGTTCTTCCAAGTGGATTGGGCAAGGAACAGCATATTTTTTAAAGACCTAAAGGTTAGTAAATTTTATTTCTCGTTTACATTCCTAAAACATTTATATATAGCCTATACATATATACGTGCTGTATAAATCAGGATGGGGATGTAATACTAACGTCACTTGTTCCGCCATATCAATCGAGGAAAGCACACATTAGCGGGCATAATTAAGCTTTTATCCTTTAATACTTCCGTAAAACGCGTAGCTCGTGACATTTTTCAAGTGCACATGTTCCTTATTTTCCCTTCCAACACCGGAGTATGACCGAAAATCGTCACAGACGAGCGAATCTCCCACTATAAGGATGTCACAACGTACAGGCGAGTTCCTGTTATTTCATTCATCACTTTTGTTAAGACGGAATTGGTCAGAAAAACAATGGGCGACAAACGTTATAGGGGGAGGAAAACAGAAAAATTATGTGTGTCATGGACGCAAACGGTTCGAAATGGACTTTCAACACCGCTACGTTACCCAATCGCGACAATCTACGATCGCCATCGCTGTGACGTAATGCTTTGGTTACCTAAAAACGATTAACTAACGAAATTTCTTATTTGATTTTGTCTTTACACCGTTTCTCTCGTAGGAGCCACGCGAAATGCGATACATCCAGACGAACAAAGTACAGTATGCGAGAATTCGCAGGAAATAGGGTAATCTATACTTTAAAACGCTACATCACTGTTGGGTGCGAGTAATTTAAATAAAGGTTTTTAAAGCGCCGCTAGTGTTATTGTTTTTTCTTATTCTTGCTGATTCGGTAGCGCTGTAGCATCCCGCGTCTTCGATTACTATGAGAACACCCGCATCCCCAGGAAGAAAGTGACAAGTACAATATAGCCTTGACCTAATTTCAGAATGAGCCACTCTTCCTTCCATGGATGGCGTTCAGCACGATGCGCATCCCACAACAGTTGGTTATACATCAGGATTATATCTATGTGTATTCTTAGTAATTTCCAAGGGGGGGGGGGAAAGCAACACGCACACTTGGTCGATCATGTGTTTATCTGTGCGTTAATTTAAAAAGCGGATGTAGGCTTTGTTAGCCGCGTTAGCAGTGTACAATATTTTGTAATAAGATTAATGGGAACAAAAATATTCAAATTAAAAAAAGAAATGATGATGATAATCACACATAATTCTGGACATGCGCGTGAGAGAACGAAATTTAACCCATTCTCTTATTGCTTTCTCTCTGTGTATCTCCCCATTTTGACGTCACGAAAACATTCCCTTGACCCAGAAATGCATTTCTTAACTTGACATGGGTTGTTAAATCGTAGGTTAATTATGTAAGGTTTTTCTAATTTCAAAATGCATTTTACTCTTTCTCACTCGGTTTTTTTAGAATTGCAGTTTAGGGGGATTGGGAAGTGATTAGGACCGAAATTCTCCGGCGGTCTATTCTTTTCCTTTTGGGGTTTCTCACGTATGTAAGATTTCATTAGTCCGTGTAACCCGAAACTCAACTGATTGATTTTATGCGTTATGCGAATCTAAACTTGCAACTATATTAGTAAATGTTGAATATTTTGTTTCGAAATTATAGAAACTATAATTATAACAGAAGCACTTAATCTATTATATTTGCCCTTCGGCCCACTATCTCGTGCAATGCCGATTGCTCACGTGTTCGGCAGAATCCGTTGGGTTGACGAAAACCAAAACCCTTAATTGTTAGATGTTACGTAAGATGCAGGTTTCAGTTTTTTTTAGCGAAATCGTCAAAATAGTATTCTTTTTAGCGTATCGTGACGCATAATTACAAGTTACATAGGAGGCCCTGTTGCAGCGGTATTGTTGGCACTTTGCCAGCATTTCAGTTCACGTGTATTTAGAAAGTAGGTCAATGGGGAAAAGGCAACCTTTGGACAGTCCAGATGCTTAGTTTTGTTTCCTTTCAGTTTTATCATCACATCCCTTCCGAATTAATTCATTTTGCTTCGGATATTAACGTAAAAAAAAGTTCGTCAATTTATCGGTGTGTTTCTCCTAACCTCATTCGAGTTTACTCCTAATTTCTAGTAGCACGAAATTCTCTTACGCTCGGATAACGGTCGGGATTATCTCCATTTTTTTCCCGTTTATAAAATGATAAATAATATATTTAGTGATTTAAATCACAAGATACCGCGTGTTCAAGGCGACTGTATACTTTATTAAGTATCTTTCTCTAGGATCAAATGTCCAAAGCTGTCAAGATGTGAAAAATTAAATAGTCAAATTTATCGTATGGATGAGGTTTTATATATATATATATTATATTTCTGAATTTATGCTGATTTAATTGCCCACTTTTGACTCGAAGATCGCTTCGTTTTGCTTTATGCGATGGCTTCTCTGTATTTTGTTTACATTACAATTACATCGTACTCGGTGCTATGGTCGGTCGTGTGATGTTCACAATTTCGTTTCTGTCGTCGGTGGATCATTGTTCGATACTTTTACTGATATTTCCAGGTAGATCTGCGGTTCGTTCGCCAATAGCAAAAGTGGCAAATGTCCAGGAAACTTGTCAGTCAGACAGATAATAGCGATGGCTGAAGGAGATTGCGAAAGAGTGAAAAGAGAGGGGAAAAAACCTGTTTTTTAACTAAAGCTATAGATCCATTCACGCAAAGTTTCTACCTATACCTCTCATAGTTTAGTCTGGCGTGGTTTTAAATGGGTGTGCTTAAGGGGTTAGAATTAAGAGTCGCGAGGGGCTCGGTTCTGGAAGAATAAGCCGGGTGGCAAATTCCGGTGTGGGATCCGTCATAATAAGACGTCGGTTCCGACGGGAGTAGGTTTCGTTTCCTCCGAGAACGGTCACTTCCGGGAGAGGTCCAATTTCGATAATCCGTAAAAAGTGCGGTATGGCTAACCATGACACCAATACCCGGTTTGGAAACGGGAAAAAGGAGCGGATTGCTTGCCGATAGTTTCCTCCTCCGTATTACATATCTTATAGAAGGGTGGTTCCCCATTTCGGTGGCCGGCGGTGTCAAATCGACACCTGGGACCAAAAGAGTTGCTCGGTCTCCTCCCGTTTCACCTTGACCTCCTTCGTCGCCCACTTAAAGCTTTAATTGTCTCGTAAACTCGTTTACGCATTTTCCGACACGATTGTTTTATTTTTTTTCCCCTCGCATTGACCATAACCAAAACCATTTCATCTTCGTAACGTGCAAAACGCGCGCGTAACCTGTTGCTAGGCAATTTCGCATATTTGTTACGTCACAACTCCGCCATTTTCAACTGTTGAAAGGCGGGAAAAAGTTTCTCCGAGCTTTTCGTCGCTGGGCACATTGCCAACCACGTCATCCACTTAACCAAGTCGTAACCGTCGGATGAAGGGTTGGCTGCATGCCAGTGTACGGGTACGTATACGGGTGGACCGTAGTGTCGGAATCCTTCCAGTTTCCTCCAAAAAAAAAAAAGTCGGAGTGAGAAAAAATGTAAATCGAGAACAATTTAGGACTTGCACCTCCCCACCGAAGTATCCAAAAAATGTTTTATAAATTGCGTCTGACCCACTTTCCTTTTATCAGATGTTACCGAATCTTCACAAAATCTAATCCACTAGTTCTATTTTCCTTTTGCCAACTTCGCTTAATTCCTCACAAAATTAACACATTTCCTTGCCGATTATTTGGTCAATGCCCAAAGCTCTAATAAATTAACTACATTGTGGAAATTGCGGCTCATATAACACGTCGTCGACTTTGGCTTAAACGATTTTAAATGGAAACCATTTTTGTCAAAGCGAAACGAAGATCGATAATTCGAATAGAATTTATCGAAACGAAGAAATAATAAAAATAATTATTTTTTAAAAATTATTATTATTTCGTTTTATTTTTCGCTGGTGTACGTGTAGATTTTATATATACCCCAGGCGAACAACTGAACACGGAGCTCGTTTTAAAAACGGTAGGTTTCCACTTGACTGACGACGTTTTCTCTCCCCCTCCCTAAACAACCCTTACCCACCCTGCGCTGTTAGACTAGGCTGGCATTTCGCACTAACTTATCCTCCGGGTATATTCACCAACACGAAGCCACTTTCACTGAAGCTGGCGCCGGAAAGTAGGTCAGTAGGACAGAAATCGGCGAGGCCACCTTCTCACGTGACTGCCTGCGGGTGTAGCGACATTGCCAATCGTTCTACTCCCGCCATCTACCGGAGTCATCGCAAATTATTAATCAATAGAATGAAATGAAAATCGTATTATTATTTTATTTTTCATTTCATTTCTAATTTCGCTTTCATTTTTTATGGCTCGTCTTACGGAAAAAAATTAGTAAATTTTTACTTTATTTAATTCGTGTTATGGCGAGAATGTTGTTGTTGTTGTTGTTGTTACTTAATGCCCGTTTCATTCGTATTTTTTATTTTTTCCGAGCCGGAGAATGGTCTTTTTTCTCGATAGACTGTAATAAATCTAATAGCCAGCATAGGAAGTTATTAGACTCGCCCCACTCACGTGACCCGTACTATATACTTCCTCTTCTCTTTACGAACTTTATTGTTCTTGGATAACTTTTTAACTCGATTGTTTTTTTAAATTGGTTTCAATAACAGAATTTCTGTTTAGAGAGCCAATCTCTTGACCTACATATAAGCTCTTTTGCGGTAGAAGCATTTTTGGAATTTATATAAATCGTTAATGAAGTCGAAAGCGTGTATTTTATATTTTAATATTTTAAAGTAAAAAAATTGCTAGTTTTAAAATATTTAAAGTCTTTCCGAAATTTTAATCAGCCATTGCCTTTTTAAAATTTTAAAATTGGAATTTTTAAAATGCGATTTAATCTTCAATATCCGCGTAAAAGATAAATAAATAAGTAAATATTTTCTTTTTTTTCTCTCTCTCTCTCTCTCTCTCTCTCGTCCATTTGATTAAATATTTCTCGATTAAATTACGGAAGTGTGTAATAAATATAAAAGTTCGATTTTTTTCTTCCCTTCTGTGAACTGTCGGATTAAATTTTTAATAATTTCCGGAAATTTATGGCCGTCGTCGTCTCTTCTAGTCGAGGAAGACCTTATTTTAATACATTTTAAAATGTTAATAACGGTTAAAATACCGAAATGAATTTGTAAATTTCCACGCCACGTGAATAAATACAAACTCCACTTATCTGTTAACGAGTTAATAAACTATCTCGACTTCATTTGTTAATTTAATAATAACTTAATTATGTATAATTGTTAGTTCGAACATTTAAAGTTTGTTTTTCTTTCTGCCAGGTTGACGACCAAATGAAATTATTACAACATGCATGGAGCGACATGTTGATCTTGGACCATCTTCATCAGAGACTCCATAACGGTTTGCCAGATGAAACTACTTTGCCAAACGGACAGAAATTTGATATGTTATGCCTAGCGTTATTAGGATTACCGGCAATGGCTGACCAGTTGCATCGTGTAGCTACTCGTCTTCAAACTTTAAAATTCGATCCTCTAGATTATATATGCCTCAAGTTCATTGTTCTGCTCAATCCAGGTATGGCATCTTAGATTATCGTCATCGTGTGTTTTTTATATAATTTCTTATTTAAATGGTTTCGTGTATGAGTACACGTTTGGTTAACATCAACCCTTAAAATAATAATCATACAATGGACTTTTTCAGAATTGACATTAATAATAAATTCGTTTAAAGTGGTAGGCGAAATTAAAGTTGTTTCCATTAACAACGGTTTTTCGATGATAATTTTGTAGTGTTATGAAACATAATATGATACTATTGAAGAAATACAGAATAAAGATCAGTAAACAATTGTATTATCATCATCATCATCATCATCTGATCCAAATAACTTTGTAGTTGACTGATACTTTTTTGAAATCAAAGGTATCGAATTTTATGAATTACCGAATGGTTACTTTTTTTAATATTGGCCGACCTTTATTCTGTTATAGATTTACCACTGTAACCAGGTGTTAGGTAAGATATTAAGGTAGAAAAATGTGAAAAAATGTACAGCACTAGTAGCAACAATAAAATGACTGCATTTGTATTTGGATTGAATTTTTAGCCGAAATCTGGACTGATATTTTAAAATTAATGTATAAAAAAAAAAGAGAGAAAATTCATATAAAATAAAAGTTGGATAATTGCAGTCAATTAAAAAAAGGGTTAATGTTTAATCTATGTGTAGTATGTAAGTATAACTGAAACATTGACTTGGGAAGCGTTCAAATTCAATTTACTAAAATTTCTAAAGCTCTGAAGAAAATTGTGTAACAGGAAGAACGTCTCAGAATTTAAAGGAGTCTGGAATAAAATTTAGGCGCATGTTTCCCCATTCAATGTCGCTGCTTGTTTTAATATCTAAATTTGTTTGTGGTAATAGTTACTCTCTGCATATTGTTCCGAGCGCAGAAATCCGGGGGCTGTCAAACATGAAGCTTGTCCACGAAGCTTACGAACAAACCCAGCAGGCGTTATTGGAGTACACCATGAACTGTTATCCACAAGTGACGGTTAGTATTATAGTAACGTATGTTTACGATTACGATTGTTACTACCTTACACCGTTGATTTTTTTTTTTACATTGATAGGAGAAGTTTAATCAACTGATGCAGGTATTACCGGAGATCAAAGTGATCAGCATGAGAGGTGAGGAATATTTGTATTACAAACACATAAACAGCAGTATTCCGGCACAGACACTACTCATGGAAATGTTACACGCTAAGAAGAAATGACAACAGACACCTGTACTAACAGAAGAACTTTAAAGAAAAACGGTGAAAGCAACCATAATTATCCGAAACCAGACATCTTAGGCTGCACGAAGGGATTCAACGTAGTACCTCTGTCTACAAAGAGGGAACCTGTGAGCTCCCAATGCAAAACACTGCCGTATATATATAAATATATATATATATAAATTGTACACCATGTACTATTGCCAGCATTGATTCTTATTTTCCTTTTTTTTTCTTTTCCCATAAAGGCACTTTTCATTATTAGTTTTTCTTCAGTTCATATTTGTGATTATATTTGTTTGTACTGCCAAAATTGACACGGGTCTGTTCGTCAGTATATTCTGTACAGATATAGATAGAATGGAAAAAGATAAAGATGATAAGATATTAAAAAAACTCATACGACTCAGGGAATACGTCAAGCACAGCCACTCAAAAACAGCAAAAAAATAATAAATAATAATAATAATAAACTTTTTAAAGAGAGTATTCGAAATGAGCGGGTTGGAGTTTTAACCCATGTGTCAGGCAGTCCAAACTATAGATTTTTAGATTTAAATAATTATATATTATAAATATTATTATATTTTTTCGTTGTGTATACCGTTACAACAGAGATTCAATTGAAAACTGTTCTGTTCTTTTATTTTATTTTTTATAGCCAGGCCAAAATTTTAAGTCTGTTTCGATACTTATTTTCTGCTCTGCAACCTCTGGGTTAATTTTAAAAAAATTAATAATGATGATGATAATAAAAGTCTGTATGGTGTTCGTCGTGAAATTTTAACCCCCTTCTACTTATATACATGTGCTGGTGTAGGCTTCTGTCGCCGCCTCTGTACATAGATGTTGTAGTTAGTTGGTTGCGGGACACGTGTCAACGTAACATATATTTGGACACCACGCTCTCGGACTCGACAGAAAATGGTCTAGTGTTGAAAGTATAGATATATTTTCTACGATATACACGTGACATTATATTAAAAAAAACAAACGGCTTAGGAAGCACCATTATAAAAAGAGGAAAAATCATAATACTAATAATTCTTGTATATAGTTTTGACAGAAGTACAAATTCACTTCTCAGCTGTTGTATTTTGTGAATTGTTAATGGAGAGGTTACCTGTTAAGAGTTGTTTATAGTAAAAAAAAAAAAGGTGGTATATATATATATATTATATATATATTATATATTTTTTGATTGTAACGCTGATCTGGAAAGTGTGTGTGCCTTAATATACCAATAGAGATGCGTTTGTGAATAATCACTTATACATACTAATCGTTGTGTTTTTAAAATTATGATAAAATGAATTTGTTAAAATTATTATTAAGAAATCTTTTAATTTTGAAGCTATTTTACTGTATGTATAAATGTTTATTCACCACGTAATTTATTGAGGAATGTCTCATGAGCACAAACATACCATACATACATGGAAAACCCCCTAAAAGTTATTAATGGGCTGTTATCAGCATGAAAAATGGTGTCCGATTTAGCGATGTGTCCATCTTGTCATTGTCATCACACATTTTTTTTTCCATTATTATGTTTATCATCATGGAAATGGAGGGTGATGGACCAAAAACAACTGTTCACGAGATAAAAAAAAAATGGGGAAATCAAAAAAATTAATACATACATTTTTTAAAAAAGGGATAACTCGGGGAGAAATAAAATCAAAATTATTACTAAAGAATAAAGTTATAAGATTTTTATGCCCTTTGTCAAATTTTGAACTCGAGTGATAGTCGCACACAACAGAGTTCTTCAGGTGCCTTCCTATCTACCATTGTGTTTTGTTGATTGTTATTCCCTGAATGGTGATACATCTTTGAATGTGGAGGGCCACTGAATTAGAAAAAAAATGTTAAAAAAAATATATATAGAGATTTTTATGGTGTACAAAATAGAGATCATGTGGGAAAATAGCTGATAATGTAAGTTTCATNCCTCAAAGTAATCAATGTTAGAAAGTAATTATACCAGTAATTACTGAACATTTCAAAAACTTATTTTTAATGGAAATTATATATTCTAGATAATTCTATAATGATTAATTTCTTACGTACGCGAATATGAAACATGATATTTCAACAGGAACATATTTAAAACGTTACACTTCCTGTTAAAGTTGGGTGTGCGATTTAAAACCTTGATTAAATTACAAATGGATGCTGAAGTTAATCTGGCATTTATGATTAATATATAGCCTTGTGTTATTTAAAACATAAAAATATATAAAATTAATTGTATATTATATAAGATGCTACATTGATTTACAACTATAATAAATGATTAAATGTTATCATGATGATGATGATGATGATAACATGATGTAATGAATTAAAGTATACACATAAACTTATTTACTTTTTAATTCACATTTTATTATATTCACAAATCTTTAATTAGTTGTTGTTAATGCGAAGGAAATTACAGTTTAGTTTGTTTCCTATTATTCAAGTTAAATGTCAAAAAAAAAAAAAAAATAGTAATATTTATTGTTTTGACGTTTAAAATATGAAGGTTTTTTTTCAGCTAGTTAATTTTTAACANGCCTAAAATATTTATAATAATAATAACGTAAATTCTATGTATTTATTGTGATTTTAAAATATGGTAAACTTTTAAAGCCGAATTATTTCAGTTTCGCATTGAGTTTTTGACAATGTGACACGTTTTCTTACAAAACATTAAAGAATTTTTGTCAATTGAAGTTGTCAGTAATGAACAATGAGTTTAAACACGATAGGAAGAAAACTCTAATATTTAAATATCAATTTTTAACTCAATGGATTTGATTGTTTGACAGGAAGAGACGGTCGCACATGTTTTTGCACATGTCTCCATTAACAGACACTGGCTCCTCCTGTTGGAAATTTTTGATACACTTTTACGCCACCACGCGGACGGGGTGACAGATTCTATTTATGTAATAAATTACATTTTTTTTTTATTTATTAATCGTGCGAGTTTAAAGTTTTATTATTATTATTTTAATAATTATTTTTCTATTCTGAAAATAAGATTTCCGGAATTTTTAATAATTAAAAACCATGCAGCTACGTATTTTCGTTTTCCCTCCTCGGGCGGCTATGAATTCGCGGAATGAGAAAATGATTTATGTCGTGTTGCCAGAAATAAAATTTGGCTTTTGGAATTTAACAGAAGTAATGCGGCAGCGTGTTGCGAAATAATTTCCGCTTTAAAAAAAAAAAGAAAACGAGGAAAATTGTGAAAACATTTATTTATAATAATGACAAAATACAAAACCGGACAGCTGGCAACCGTGTATCGGCACCTTTCGTCAATGGCGGCTATTATAAAATTAAAATAGCCCAATTTTCTCAAATAATTTTGTAATTTAATATGAAATTGTTCTATTGTATTTTGTGTAATATATGGTATTTATATATGTGTATGTACAAAAATTGATTTGTCGTAATGTTCCATATATAAATTAGAATTTTTGCAACATTGCTCTGTAAAAGTCGTTATTTCATTAAAACATTTTATTTTCGTAACGTAATAGGAAAATCGTTATTGAATCGAAAATAATCTTCCAAAAGAAAAATTTTTAGTTATAATTTAAAACATTTCAGTAAATACGTAGGCGTTACATATAATAAAAGAAACAGTGCAATGTTCATAATTTTAATCAGCATTTATTCGGAAAAACGGTTCCCGTCGTCACATTATCTAAATAAAGATTTAGATGGCACGCGGTAAACCTAAATGGAGAAATTCATTAATTTATTTACTAAAAGATAATTTAGAAATATACGAACAAATACTTACAAAGTTTTACTTGGTTTAGTAATGATGATATTATCGATTATCCAATTTTCGTGGCCCTTTCTAAAATATCCACTAAATGTTTTATAGGTAACAATTACTTTTAATATGTCTTCCATTTTTGGAGACGAATTTACTCTCTTAGCAACGGCATTTCCGGGAATTAAAATTCCTCTTTTACTGAAAAACAATAAAATTATAAGTGTATACTGTACTCGTAAGTCATATCTGTAAATACAGTCGACCCCCTATAACACAGCCCGGCTCACGTATTTGTAAAATTTAAGTGACTCGTACAACATGGAATTCATATAAAACGGAATTATCAACAATGTTATAGGGGGTCGACTGTACTAAACTTATAACTGAGCAAATTTTTATTAAAAAGTTCAAAATCTTCGTAAGATGCTTACGTGTAGTGTGTAGATAAATTACAATATATTATTTTATATAGGCTAAATAAATAGAGGATTATAAACTTACTCTGTTAATTGGTAAGTTTCATTATATCCACTCTTTGTTGTTAAAGTTATTTCAATTTGTCCTAACGTCGCTTCTTGCTCTGAGGAAAATTGTACAGCTATCAAAATAGGAAAAGCTAAAAAAATACAAAACGAAATATATTAATCATTAGAGAGAGAGAGAGATTTTGATTTATTAAATCTTAGAAATGAACTTGTAAATTTTGAGAAATTATTCAGATTATGCTTTTAAAATACAATGAAATTCTTGTTCTTGAATAAATAAATACATTATAATTCGAGGTATTTTAAATATACTTGGGCAATTTAATCCCAAAGGGAAGATATCTTTCTTCTTTAAACATATGGGAAGTAATACATTTGATACTTCTGTCCTGTTATTAGTCGAAACTAAAAAAAACGTCCTTGAGTATAAACTCATCCGGCATATTGCAATATCAGATACGCCGTGTTTACATTAATGATATTAATTATTTTTTAATATTATTTTATCGTATAAACAATATAGAAATTAAAACTTACTACAGAACGGATGATCTTCATTGGTTGGCGTGTAATATACTCCATTACCCTCTACGTTGTATCCCAATCTTCCACAAGTTCCATTAGGACATAAGAAACATTTTTCTTCAACGTAATGATCGTAACTTTCACACGGAAACGATATAAAAACGCAGTCGTCATTAAGAATAGATTCAATGAATAAATAAACAGCTCGTTTGTGATGACATTCACTTTCTTTCTCCCCGGCTAAAAAAAAAGGCAATAATTTTTAAAATATAAATACCATTTAGTCTGTAGGACGCGTTTATTTCCATATTTATTGTATTTATAAATGGGAACGACCCTTTACTTACTAAAAATGTCCTTCAAGAAACCAACAATGTTGTTGTGTCTACAACCGGGTTGAACTTTCCCGCCATTAGGATAAAAGTCCACGTGTCCGACTGGCGTTTTCATCCCAAGTCCAGCGTATAAACGATCGTTAGCATTTGTATGGATAGCATCAACAAATTCGGCGTCGCTTTTATCTACGTGTACTTCGGGGCCATAACCTTCGTAAAGTGGAGCAGCTGGATCTAGAGCTATAAAAATAATACGAAATATATTTACTAATGCAATTTTAATACAATATTTTATTATTTTGTTTTACCTGTGATTCTCGCAATCTTTCCAGAAAACATCTTTTGTACACTTTTTCCTAAAAATCCTACTACTTGAGCTCCCATACTAAAACCAATCGCGTGCATCTGGTTCCAATTTACTTTAAAATATAATTGGATTTGGTTCAAAAGTACAGCGATTTGTCTACCGACCAATTCGCTGTTGGGAACGGCGGATAAATAATTAGGTCCTGCAGCACCTTTGCTCCAATCAATAACAATAACTTGAACATCTCCCTATAAAAATGTACATATTGCACGAGTAGATTAGTCAAAAACAATTACTTGATAAATAATTTATCTTTAATACCTTTTTTAAGAAGGCATTCTTCATAGACTGAACCCAATTTAAGCTCGATGAACCTCCGAAACCGTGGCAAATTACTTTAATTGGTTTTTCCTGTTTTAAATGACTTTCGTATAAAGTATGGATATCTTTATAATCAATGTAATCTGGTGTTTTAGGATTTTCGCGTGTATAAAGTAGAAATTCTGTTTGTATCTCTTCTGGATTAGCTGGTACGGACCATATGTGTGAAAATGTACCATTGCTTTCAAAACAACCGACATAATCGTAACAAACTGTCACAGTTGTAATTTTTATGCCATAATTCAAATTCTTAACAATTTCTTCCGACTGTAGCGCATATTTGTATATGGAGCCATCAGAGTGTTCGCTACTCGCTATTGAAATCGTGCAGAGAACAAAAACTATACAAATAATGAAAATATTAATTATCTAAATTTGATTTCTAAACATTAATTTTATCAATTTAATTTATTATTAAAATCATACCAATAAAATACACGTGACATCTCTTCTCCATTTTTCTTTTTAAAACCTTCGTATTCCACTTTGTAAAAGAAAGTTCTTTTTTAAAATATACCTTTTTAACTCTAAATTGTGATATGATAAGAAAGTAAACAGACGTCACTTTTATTTTTTCCTGTAGTGATCTGTACATATGTTACGAGATAATACTAACTTTTGCAGATGGTAAATATACTTATCGGTCTGTTACGTAAATTGTCTTTTTTGTTATCATTTTTTAATACAGTATTTTTGAATTACGTCCACTTTGATTAAAAATTGTTTACTTTATCTTCTCCATTTTTACGAATCTAAACAAAAGTAAGAATTCTGTGTAAAAAATTCCGATATAATTTGATGTTTTCTATTATTCAGATGTTCAAGCCGCCTTCCATACTAAAGGGTCCGGATTCGTATTCGATTTGTATTCCAATAATTTTTATTATTGATTTTTATTCCTTCGTAATTCGGATTAGAACGTCGTTCTCGCGTTGCCAGATCTGGGACTTTCGTTCCATTTCTAGGACTTTTTCGAATAGTACGGGACTTTGGAACCTAACGTTAGGAATCTAGGACTTTTTAGTAGTGCAATTACATTAATACGTGCGTAACAAATTCGAATATCATAGAGTAAAAGATTATTCGCAAATCTTTTATGTACATGGTCCCCACATGGTAATGATTGACCAGACTCTAGTCAGGGGGCCCGGGTTCGTGAGGGCCCGGAATGAAGATGGTCAGTTTGTATTCTTCGCTTTGCTTGGATTTTCTTGTGGAATATTGGAATATTTAATTCTTGACATAGTTTAATTAATATTCTAAGCTACTATTATTATTAACTTAATATAACAATCACAAAAGTATAAAAATTACCAGTAAAAAACCCCCCAATTGGAATTCTGAGTGCGAAATACGATAAAAATCTTCAGGATTTATTTGCCAATATTAGTCTCGCAATTAATTAAGTTGTTTTGTACAGTGCCAATAACTGTTTTTTCGGCCGAGAGGTCTTTCAGTAAACTGGCAAATTCACTGAAGACGTGGCAAAGAAACTCAACTGGTCGGGAGCCACTAAATAACCAAGCAATTTTGTGCATTGAAAATGATTTAGCTAAACAAACAAATTTCAGTGACGTGATCGAAAAATTTACTTCAGCAAAAACCGGAAAATTTACTGCGAAATAATTTAATCGATAGTTTCTTGGGTTTTGTCTTGTTGATGTGCCAATTTCTGTCATTCTTTCAGTTCTTGTGTTGGTTCATATTTTGTTTTCGTTTTTAATGTCGTGTTTGTCATTGTAAAATTTGTCGGTGTAATTCCTCTATTGTCTATAATAAATCTAAGCTACGGTTTTGTAAATGCGTACTTAATTTGTGAATGAAAATAATATTTTTTGTCATTTAGCTGCCTTATCATTTCCCAAAGCGGCCGTGGGAGTCGAGTGGTTACCATCTGAACTTACCATTCTGAAGAAAATGATTTAATTTATTGCAATAATAATACAGTGCTGTGATGGATGCACTTGATCATAAACATAATACCACAAAATGGAGACTTTTCATTGATACGTCTAAGATTAGTCTTAAGGCTGCGCTTTTCCATAATGGAAACAAATTTCCTTTTGTGCCATTAGTTTATTCAACTGAATGAAAGAAATCTATGAAAATATGAAACTCTTACTTGAAAAAATTCATTATCACAAGTACAGTTGGATCATATGTTATGATTAAAAGTCATTGCATTATTAATGGCTATACTAAATTTTGTTGTTTCTTGTGTGAATGGAACAGCAGAGACAAGAAAAATCATTACGTCAAGAAGGAATGGCCAAAGCGTGAAATGTTTATTCCTGGCCAGAAAAATATCATTCATGCCCCATCAATCAATGCTGACCTGATTCTTCTACCTACACTTCGTATAAAGTTAGGACTTTTCAAAAACTTTGTCAAGCAATGAATGTAAACAATGCTGGATTTCATTATTTAAAGGAAAAATTTCCTCGTATAAGTGATGCTAAATCAAAAGCTGGAATTTTCATGGGTCCACAAATAAGACTTTCATTAAAGATGATAAATTTGAAAGCTTGTTAAGCGCAGTTGAAAAATCAGCATGGAAATTATTAAAAGATGTTGCACAAAATTTCTTGGATAATCACAAAGCTCCAAATTACTGCACAATTTTGAATGGGCTCTTACAATCTTACAAAGATATGAGATGTAATATGTCCCTCAGAATGCATTTCTTGGATTTCTTCCCTGACAATTTAGGTGCTGTCAGTGACGAACATGGGGAGCGTTTCCATCAAGACGTCGCTATAGTGGAAAAGAGGTATTAGGGCCAGTGGAATTCGATAATGCTTGCCGATTGCTGTTGGATACTCAAGAGGGATTTTCCAAATGCCAAACATAGAAGCCATCTTGAATATCTCGCCATTTTTGACAAGATAAATAAATATGTATGTTGTCTAAATAAATATACAGTATTTTACATTATTTAAACTGGCTATTACAAAAAAAAACAAAAAACAGACTTGATGGAGAAAAACTGTTTATATATTTGAAAACATCATAAAAAATTCTATTAGGATCAGACATTTTCATTTGTGTGCAAAAAAAAAAAAACTTTTATTTTGTTCCCCAGTGTTATTTAGACAATGGTAAGGTGTACGCAAATATATTTTGCAATCTAAATAAAGATATTATAAAACAAAATTCACACAACGGATTATTCAGCATGGCCAGCCCGTCCTGGCGAGGTGCGAACCCACGACCGAACTTCCAAGATTCAAAAAGGAGAACCGCTCGGCCACTGGTAGGCCAAGAAATTAATGCATTGGCATAATTGAACAAATACACAATTTATTCAATACCCTTAAGAGACACGTTGTCCTTGTGCATAATATTGATAAACATATACCGAATACTAAAAGACAAAAACTTTGCCAAGTTTACCCGACTAGGCGAATGGAACGTCATGAAACTATAGTGACCATGGTGAAATTATATGATGCGGTGATTCAGTTTTGAAATAATGGAACAAGTCATTTCTTGAAAAGACAAAGATTCGTCCTCTAAGGCGAAACTTTGAAGTTTTCGGGTTTTCTCCTCGTCTGTAACGCCTGAATAGAGGCTAGTTAGGGTGCGATTATGCAGACGCGAGCGAGAAGAGGTGATGACGTTTCACGCTCTCCGTTTCTCGCTCTCCGTTTCTCGCTCTCGTCTGTGTGGTCGTAATAAACAGAGAGAGTGAAACGTCATCACCTCTTCTTCTGCCACATATTCTCGTTCGCTCGAGTATGCATAATCCCATCCTTACTCTTAAACAGTCTTTCCGGAAGGCATCCTCCTAGGCAGATCGTCCAAGTGTTGCGTTGCCATAACTAAACAAACAAAAGTAACCCCGATTGGATTTCAAAGATTATGATCAGCTTATCTATATTCTTCAGCTTCGGTAATTAACGGTAAGCCATAAATCTCCTATGCCTTATTGCAATCGATACGTATTTAAATAAATGTACTTAAACAAAATTGTTAAAACCGATAATTGCTTGGCGGCCAACCTAGCAATTATTGAATTGTTAAATTCGGTGTGCGGATCAGCGATGCTGCTGAAGCGATACAATTGCTAGTGAAGGTCTTTTAACAATGCACGCTGTAAATCTAAAATGGTGGATGTCGGAGCATCTATTAGAATGTTTCGCGAATTATTAATTCCAAACATTTTAAAAGAATTGATTTCTGTGATGTTTTGGATACAAAATTAATGATTTAAATTTAGTGTATGCAGTAGAGGTGGGTAATCTCGGTCGGAACTACGAGGAACAATTCCACACCGAGTATCGAGACAGTTCCGGTTGGAACTACTAACGCATTCTTCATTCAGTACTTTCACAAATACGGTTTTCCACGGAACGATGAATTCTTTATCTGAATTTTAACTCGAACAATGAAAATGTTCCACGGATTTTTAGGTATAATCAAATTAGTTTAGAGTATTTTAAATTTACACAGCTATTTTAAAAATGTATATTTTTATTAGAGTTCGTAATTATTTGTTTTATTAGTAACCAACAGATATATTCGGCATTCGGTTATTTTAGCTTACAATTGTTATGTTTATCGCGAAAAATTGATGAGATCAAATTATGAGAAGAGTGGTGTGTCCGGATATCACGATATTCTATATTTTCCTCCTAGTCCCAGAGACTAAGCCTGCAAAATTACATGCAGATCGGACAAAGGGTTCAGGAGTTAATAAGGCGGGATGAAATCAGGGGAAGGATAAGGTATCCAGGTTTCGTGGTAGTATATATTTTCCTCAGATTCTGAGTTAAACATGAATAATTTGGAGCAGATCGACCAAAAAACAAAGAATAGAGAGACAAGCATTTTATATGTTGTATAAAACAGACGAGGGGCTGTCTAGTCCAAGAGACTAAGCAACTCCGACGTTACGTAATGATTCCGAGGAACCGTCTAGTCCAATTGTTTCGATGCTGTCTAGCTTAACGATTGGAACCGTTCCGTCGGAACAGTCCGCACTCGAATCAGTTCCAATAGTTCCATCGGTGAAACTGGATTTTTCACCTCTAGTATGCAGTTTTCTTCCTGCAACATAAAGTAGATAATTAAACATTTTCAATATAAGTTTTGTCAAATCTGATTTTCTTTTACTAATGGGTATTTTAAAAGAAAAATAGGTACAAACAGAATATCCATTCATGGTGATCAATGCCTTATAGTCATCCACTGGAAGACGGCCGGATGGCCGAGCGGTCAAGGTGGCAGTCCACCGCTCTGGGGAACCCGGGATCGAACGGGTCTCCCAGTGCGAGTCCTCTTTCCGCCCGGGTGGAAAAATCCTCAGGAATTTTTCGGGGGTTTATCCGACCGGATATGTTGGTCTCCGTCCCTTACCATTCGGTCGCCCCATTGTGGGCCTGGTCGAAACCATAATGGGCTTGCTAAAAGAGGCCCTCTTATTGCTCACAGGGCGGAAAGAGTTAATTAATTTAAAAAGTCATCCACGGAAAGTACTAACGACTGCTAGATATTTTGCTAAATTATATAATACTTTTAAAGACTGCTCTAAAGAAAAGAATAAATATTATAATGTTAGGTTTTTATTGCATTTACCGGTTGCATATAAGCCCAGAAAATTACTATATTCACTTAAGCAAGCATGTGGTACACCATAATTTTCTACAAAGTAAAGCCACTTGTTGTCACTAGTGCTTCTATTATGGCCACATTTTTTATTTCATTATTTTGAACTTCCCGCCACGAATTTTACACATCACTGTTTGACAACTGACACATCAGTGACATTTTTAACCTATCGAAACTCGTGTGTCTCGCGGCCACACGTGTGTGTTTTAACCGATCGCTGGAGTTGGTAGGTTGTTGGCTGTAGATATGAGTGTTTTAAACGTTTTTTGACGTTTAAAACACACATAACAATGGACATGCACGTACCCCTGCTGCACCTGCGAGTTTTAAACTTCTTTAGACAGAACATTAGAAGCATGTCACCACATGTGTTATTGTGTCTATCTCTTTGAAGATTTTATCATAATTTTCTGTTTACTTATAATGTGAAAATAATATAAAAAAACGTTATTTTATAAATATTACTTGACATTGCAAAATAAGAATAATTTAAATGGCAAACTACGCGATAGCGTGCAAATAAAAAGCATTTACTAATAGACATAAAAAATTGAGTAAAAATACAAGGATTTTACGAGAAATGACTAGAAAGCAATTTTCCATTTGAATGATAATTTTCGAGAAAAACTCAATCAAGTAGAAATAACAATTTGAAAATAGAATCGTTTTCTGCCTAAATTCACTCGTTTATGGAACTGAACATAAATACTACTTTGCCAACTTCCTTTTTTATTTTTTATTTTAACCATACGATTCTATTCAAATCTCATATTTTTGACCAAATATTAGTATTCAAGGTAAAGGTCAAGGGGCTCGCAACTCACTAAGAAAAAAAAAAAACAATTGCGTTGAAGATATTTAAGGTTAAGATGTTATCCTGCCGCTCTTGGCAGTGGCGGATACAAGGCGAGGGCTACTGGATCTTAAACCCTCTCTATTGATACCAAAAGATTAAAACTTACGTTACTTTTTATAAACATTTGGGATGACAAATATGGTTAATCGGGCCATTCGTAATACAATAGCCCTGTACTGTATATATTAATAAAAGGTACTTTTTAATTATTGAAATATTTAAAATTTTTGAGTTAGTCCTTCTTCGGGTACTTTCGGATTGGCCCTGGGAAACTCGGGAACGAATCCAGAATGGTAAAAAAACACTCCAGGAATTATTCGGAAGTGATCCGTCCCGTCTCTCGTTACCGGTTGCCCCATTTTGGGCCTGGCTGATTCCAAGATGGGCTGGTTAAATGGTCCTTTTAGTGCTCACAAGACGGAAAAAGTAATTTAAAAAAAAGGACAGAATTTCTATTTCCGGGAAACCTTATAAAGCATAGAAAACAGTCTGTAAGTAGAAAAGGACCGACGGACTTTCTTGTCTGTTAGTCTCCATTTTTAAAATTCTTTAGTAATTTGATTTACTGTATTTATTAAAATTTAATTTTGGTTAATCAATAGACAGTTTAAAAATATTTAAAAAATAAAAGAAAATTTTTAATTTTATTAATTAATTAAAAAATTTACGATTTTTAAAATACACAAAAAGTTTCACTTCCTAATAAAAAACTAGCGACCTCTATACTAATTCTACTTTTAGTATATAAAATGATTCTATCACCTTTTACCAGAATACAAATAGAGATTGTTTTATTTTAAAATAAAATACGAATTAATTATTTATTAATTAAAAAAATAACTTATAATTTAATAATAATAATAATAATAACAACAACAACAACAGTAGTATATGATAATCCGGCAACACCGGTAATCAGTAGAAGCAGCTGCTGCTATGTTTCTGTCTAACGGTTTTTGCAACGATTTCTATGAAATCATCTAAAGAAAAATAATAGAATAATATTTGTTTATTTTTAATTTTTTTTTCGAGGAATATAAGGTAAGAAACTATTCGCTTATTCCTCAAAGTAATCAATGTTAGAAAGTAATTATACCAGTAATTACTGAACATTTCAAAAACTTATTTTTAATGGAAATTATATATTCTAGATAATTCTATAATGATTAATTTCTTACGTACGCGAATATGAAACATGATATTTCAACAGGAACATATTTAAAACGTTACACTTCCTGTTAAAGTTGGGTGTGCGATTTAAAACCTTGATTAAATTACAAATGGATGCTGAAGTTAATCTGGCATTTATGATTAATATATAGCCTTGTGTTATTTAAAACATAAAAATATATAAAATTAATTGTATATTATATAAGATGCTACATTGATTTACAACTATAATAAATGATTAAATGTTATCATGATGATGATGATGATGATAACATGATGTAATGAATTAAAGTATACACATAAACTTATTTACTTTTTAATTCACATTTTATTATATTCACAAATCTTTAATTAGTTGTTGTTAATGCGAAGGAAATTACAGTTTAGTTTGTTTCCTATTATTCAAGTTAAATGTCAAAAAAAAAAAAAAAATAGTAATATTTATTGTTTTGACGTTTAAAATATGAAGGTTTTTTTTCAGCTAGTTAATTTTTAACACTGAATTTTACAAATGTTTATAATTATTTACGTGCAATTTTATTGTGAAGCAATATTATAAAGATTCTTTACGCGATGGTAAGTGTTTATCTGTAGTAGTATTTGGTGCTTTTTTTTGTTTTTTAGTAAGTATAAATATAAAATTTGACGAACAATAACCAGTTTTATTGACGAGTGTCGAAATCGTTTCTCGATATATACATGCTCTTATACTACGTACGGTTATTTTAAATGTCTTGTTATGATATTCCTATTAATTAATGTAATTAGGAAAATCAATTTATAAATTAGCAGTTGTAAATCTTGATGCTTAATTTGCTTGATAATCATAGTAACTTTGAAATGAAGTAGCTAAAGCTTATTTAAATTGTAATTATAAATATTGATATACTTTTCAATAAGTCTATAAATATAACTATAAATCTTTCCAAATTTATTTGCTGCATTTATTTTTTATGGTTATAAAAATGTGCGTATAGAAAAAAAGCCTGATAAAATTTTAGTCTAAGTGGATAAAGTAATGCAAATTTTATGTCGTATTTGTATTGTTATTAAATATTAGTCAAAGCATTAACTTTATTTAAAAAGTAAGAATAATAATAAATAATAATAATAATAAATATGATATATTGATAACTGTTATTTTTAAAAAATATGGAGAAATAATTTTATGCATTGTATTAGTAATTAAAAATTATGTTGATTCATCATGAGTTTACAAATCATTTGTTAATAGAATGGTTTTTTTAGAGCAATATTATTATGCTTCACTTAATTACAATAATTTGAATATGCTTCTGAATATATTTGTTCTTTTTCCATAATAATAAATCAAATCACAGAGATTTTTCATTTAAAAAATTCAATTTGTTGTTCTATATTGTAATTTTTCTTAGTTGATAAATATTGAAATTCATGTTTGTAATTCCAGTCTTAATCAAGTTTAAAAGAAAATAAAATTGATCATTGTTTTTAAATTTTTTAAATAAATGATATAAAAAAGAATACTTTGGAGATAAGTTTAAGAGAATCTAAATTATTAAATTACATTAGTATAGTAAAGAGAATCAGCTGTATTGGATTGAATTAAAATGTATTAGAATGTATAAAATGAGCTTTAAAACATGATCCTTTTTGTTACGCGCAAGCTATCATATCCTTTTTCTAAGTTTGAACACAGTCAATATGAATAAGCACACTTAATATAAAAACATTGATTGTTTTTTAAAACCAAATTTAATCAGATGATTTGCCACTGATTTTACAGACACAAGTGTTTATTAACTTTAATATAAGTGGAACAAAACTAGAACTAAGATTTTAATTTTAGCATTGCACTTTTTATGTAGTCTTAAATCTTGGAATAAGCTGAATTTATCCATTACAGTGAAGCAGTTACCGCCATGTTGTTCTTATCTGTGCACACATCATATCTATGCTTGTGCAGTTTTTATGCAAAGTTCCTATTTGTATAACCCACATGGGCTATATCCAACCTCAAATTGACATTTCCAGCTGGTGTATTGTTTAATTCATATTTATGTTGATGACCTGTATACATTAAGAGTTGACTATGTTTGGAATGCTTGTTCTTAATCTTGATTTTTTTTTAAACATTTGAATGAGTGCAGTCTAAAAAGTTTAATCCTGAGGATAATCTATGGACTAGACTGAAAAATTTACAGTATTTTTTCCCCCACGCTCTTGTTTATTTGGTGTGTGAATATATAGTATCCAATAGCATGTATTACAAAAACAAAATGCTCAAAACCTGATAAATTTGTAAGGCCAAACAACCATTGGATTACATTGGGCTACTTTTATGTGATTATATTTAATTAATTACTAAATAATTTGTTACTAAAGGGAGGTGTTGGATGCCATCTCTTATTAAATTTAATAATTATAATTAATCATTTGTTGTGAAACCATGTTGTACTAGATTTTCTTTAGAAGTGTTGAACACGAGATCGCATTATTAACCAATTACATGGCTTCTTTTCCACCTTTATTTAGTTAATTTGTTTAGTTCAACTAAACAAATCAACTAAATAAAGGTGGAAAAGAAGCCATGTAATTGGTTAATAACACGATCTCATGTTCAACACTTCTAATTATAATTAAATTAGAATTAGATAAAATATTTATTAAATAATGTATAATATTTTGGAAGAAAAGACTAAGAAATGGTGCCTAATGCATCCCTCTAGTGACAAATTATTTAGTAATTAAATATAATTACAGAAAAGTAGCTCAATATAATCCAGTGATTGTTTGGCTTTTTTTATTATAAAATAATTTATGTTAACTTTTGTCAATTAATTTCACTATGAGACAAATCATCCATATTAAAATATAACAACAAATGATACAAAAAATGTGACTTAATTCACTAAGACATAGAAAAATCCTTAAAAGTGTTCTCATATAAATCTTTTATATTTATAATTTTTAGTCTGAGAGAGAGATCTGTTTTGTCCAAGTTTTCAGTTATACAAGAAAGCATTGTTGTACATTACTATGGATAATCAAAATTATACTGTATTCAATAATAATGCTTTTAAGATACCATTCTTTAAATAATTAGGTTTTAGTAAAAATTCAATAATTATCATCATAACTGTTGAATTTATGATTATACTGCTTATTTTTCTTTAAATTGTTGCATACTGTATAATGTTTATTCTGTTGCAGGAAAATTTATTACTGTGTGTGTGTGATATGCATGCAAGATGATTCATGAAAAGTTTCATCCATAGTTAAAAAGCAGAAAGTGTCATAGAACATGATTTTATTCGTAATACTTAATGATCATAAAATACACTTCACACAAGGTTTAAATTAGTAGCTATAAGTTATTGAAAGTACTAGCGAGTACGTCTAAAATCTGAAAAGTTGCAATTTGTAATGCTGCAACACTGAAGTGTTAATTACTTTATTTTATTCGTAATACGTTAGTTACTCTAGTTGTTTTGAATTCTAAGATGAAGACAGTTTTGAACAAGATGAAATGAATCAATAAAAAATGCATAATCAAATGCAGGAAAGTATTTATTGATGAAATCACAAGTGTTGTATAATATTTAGAGATTTTCAAAGATTTCTCCTTGCACTTAATGTCCATTTTTGGCAGGCTTGTGAAGTTCACACATTGCATTTCTGATTTTGGTATAGGTATCCCTACTAAGTGCTCTGGTGTTTACATTTTTGTTGTGTAAACAAGACATTTCTCCATCTGTAAATAAAAAAATTAGCAATTAGATCAAGTGTTTGGCTTTTTAGGAAAAAGTTTGAAACTATTGAGAATTGGACCCATGTTTGCAAGACTTTTCTGCTCAAGATGTTCTCAAAGTTGGCTTCTTGAATAATAAGTTGGCAATTGAATAATAGAGAAAGCATTTACTTTCCTGACTGGTATGTATATTTCAAGGAATTAATGGAATCGTGTCAAATTTGACCTTCCAGTTTTTGCAAATCTTGATGTTTTGAGACACCCTGAACCCATAAAGGGGATAAAATTTTGTGTGTATGTGTTAGCATCTATTTTATTTAGTATCTCAGGATGAGGGTAAAGATTTGAAAATGAAATTTGGCATGAAAACTTGTATATAAGGAGCATTGATGCTATTAAATTTTTGTAGTTAATGCTTAAAGAAATGGGGAGATAGAGGGGTCATGTAAAATATCTCAGGTGGCATCAGACTTAATGAAAATTTTATTCATTGTTGGCATTTACAATTTCTTATATGACTCATCTCTACCTTAAAATTAAGCCTTTTATCTTTTTATAATAATTAATAATATATAATTTGTTTTAATAAAATCTCATAACATATGGTGTCACACAATTTTATTTTAAGTAATTATTAGCTGAAATAAACAAATTAAACTATGGATCTAGTAGATTTAGATTTTATCCTAGGAAATTTTTCTACAAGGAGAGGCAAGCTTGGAGCAACATAACTTTTGGTGAATGGAGTTTGACAAAAGAGGAATTTTTTACAAAGAAGACTAGAGTTTTTTGTAAATTTATGAAATTGTTATTCTCTCAATATTTGTCTTTTTTCAAATATCTCTCAAGAAGATGCCTGTCAAACAGTTTCTTTGTTAGCTTCAGTATAAAAGACATCAGTCTAATTAGATAAATATATTATCCAACCATAATTTTTCTCATATTTGTAATTTAAAATCTAAACTGATTGATATTTTTGGTCAGATTTAAGAATCAACATTTGGAATAAAGATACATAGCCAATTACAAGCTGTTACAATAAAGAATAGTTCAGTATATAAAATGAGCTGAAATACTAAAATATCATGAAGTTCATTTGATTTACAAGAATTAAAAGAATTAAAATTTATCAATTTGATCTTGTAGTAGTAAATGTTAGTTTTTCTGTGTTTTGGATAGGTTTACTTAGTCTGAGCCAAACTGTTAAGAAGTTCATTTGTTTCAAAAGTTAGTGATTCTTGATTGGATAATTTGTACTTATTAAAGTAGATACTCATAACAACTCTTTGATAAAAAAAAAAAGTATAAATGCAAGTTTAAATGTTCTGTGTCACTAAACAGCAGCTTAAATAATAAATTAAATTTGTCAAAAAATGAACATAACTTTTGTAAGCAAAAATATAATAATTTACCAGTTGCATGAGAAATATAGTAAAAGCTTGATATAACAGACCATCACAGAACTAAAGAAATTGGTGTATTGTAATGAAAGTCCATTTTATTGTGATACAATAGAATCATGTTCAAATGGATCTTGATAATTCACCTGGAGAAAATATATGCAGTTTGCAGATGTTTTCTCCAGATCCAAATGCTAGATCAATGTATTTTTACCTCATTTCAGCAGATCTGTTGCCATGAATACAGTATTATCAACTTGTCCATCACCATATATCAATATTGTGGACAAAATTTCAGCTATAAAGTAAGCCAGATTATTATTAAACTTGTAAAACAATTACTTTTATTCATCAATTTATGATGATGATTTAGTTGCAACATGTAAATGAATAGATTCTCATGTTAAAATATACAATGAACAGTATGAATGAGGAAACAATAATTATGGTGAATAAAATAGTAGCAAGAGTATTCAGTATAATGATCTATTATGTTTTTTTACATCATAACTTGAGAATAACTCTCAAAACTTGTTCACTCAGTGGACTGAATGAGTTTTGAGTGTGCCTAAGACTTTTGCTTTCAAGTTGTCTTGAGAGACAGCTGGATTTCTGAATGACATTTGTTGAGATACTTCCTTTAATCAACTTGAATTCTGCCGAAAATGATAGTAGTACTCCTAGCCATTTTTGTGTTAGTTTTTCTTTGACTTTTTGTAAAATTTTACTTTTACTTATATGGACCAAACAAATTTTGGGATGCATGACTTCAATTATTATAGAAGTATGGAACAAAATATGACATTTAAAAATATGAAATAGTTGATTCTTTATTTCATTATAATTTAGAAATACCTTTTTATTAATACAGTTTAAATATTTTCATTGTATTTTCTGTTTTCTCTGATCTGAAATCTAAATTGTATTGTTTCTTAGTGTAAGTAAAAAAATCCATATATCAAAATTAAAACTTTTATTTAATATTATAATTGTAATGAAGTAATTTAAAACTAATACAAAAACGTCTAAATGCTTTTTGATGTACTATGAAAACATTTTTGACATTCTTCAGAAGTATTAGCATAGATTTATTTTTCTAAAATACATTTTTTACTTTAGATATTTTAGTGTGATAGTTTTAATCCTTACCGTTGAAGTTAGTTACAGTGTAGCTTACAGTAAAAAATTTCTTAAAGCAATAGTGTTATCTTGAAACTTGTAAGAAAAATTTATATAATTATTAATATACAAATTATATATAAATTGTATACTTATATATTATAATAATATGTAAGATCACTATAGGAATTGCACATACCAAAATTATCAGAGTTTAGTGATATATAAGATGATTGGTGAGTATATTTGAAAATATCTTTAATTTAATGATTGCAATATTATATAAATAATGTTGTAAGACAGTCTGAATTGACATTTTCTGTATAGAACTTTAAAATGAAGTAAAAGATTATTGTATCACTAAATTTAACAAGTTATATTTTGATGACCTAAAGATAAGTTCAAATGTTTAGGTTTAAAAAAATGAAATTATTGACATTTTAATGTAATAATAATAGATATTCTTCTTCAAATTTTAAAGAAAATATAATCAGCAATTTTATAGACAAATTTCAGTAAGGTTTTTAAATTTTTATTATATTGATGTATACACTGTGTTGACAAAGTATTGGGCCACACATTAGAGGTGATGAATGTAACTTTTATTAACATTTTTTCAATATGGATTTGGACCATCTTTGGCTTGAATCATTGCAGCAACCTTTCTAGGCATACTTTTGACAAAATTTTAATAGATGTATAGAGGGATGCATCTCCATTCCTTGTGGAGAACTATGGATAGTGATACAACAGACAATGGGCATGTATGTATGATATTCTACTTCATCCTGGGTCTAGATACTCAATGCAGTTAAGATCTGAATTTGGGCTGGCCAATCCAGCTTGTTGACATTCTGCTCTACAATCCACACTAATTGCTGTATGGTGTGATGCTCAAGTCAGAGCCATACAAAGTACAGGTATACCTCGCCTTACGTCGGTAATTGGTTCCAGGAGAACGACTTAAGTCGAAAAACGACGTAAGTCGAATTTACTTGTTTCCAAATCTACTTGTCACTAGGCTAAACTATAAATTGCCAATTCTGGTTCTGTATTTTATTTATTAATGCATTTTTAATAATCTATGGTTAATAAGGATCTATTTTAAGCTTACAAACAAATAAATTTCAGTTTTTAATATAGTACAGAAAAAAGTAATCTAAATTTACGAATGCATGTACTGTAAATACAGTACTGTACATAGTTGTAAATGTATATATTTTAATATGATTTTATGTGCTTTAAATGCTTTTCTAGTGATATTACGACTTCAATATTTGTGGCAGACAGACGTAAAGTCAAATAAAATGACTTAAACTTGATTTTTATTTTTCCATATACTTTTTTGACGAACGACGTAACTCGAAACGACGTAAGTCGAGGTATACCTGTACAACAACATGGCAAGTTATGCCACGTTGTGCAGAATGTTTCTGTAGTCACCAGCATTCAGGGTAGACTTCATAGTAATTAATTAATGGCTCTAATCCTTCTTAGCAGAAAAACTTCTATGCCATAACAGAGTCTTTTCTGAACTTTATGCTGTTGGACAATGCAGTTGCATATAAATTGTCCTTCAAGCAACCACCATACTTAAACATGACCATCTGATTAAAAGATGGTATACTGCAGAGATTGCCCATCTTTTTCTGTGTAAGGGTCACATTTAAAACTTTTGAACTGATGTGGGCTGCATCAAAGAGAGAAATAAGAAAAAGAAAAATGATGGTAAATCACAATTATTTATTCATAGGCTATATGATTATAAATTAACATATTGGTCATTGCTAGTTTTAAATTAGTTTTGATGTAAGTCTGTTAGCTGATTTCTTGTTTTACTTTTTACTAAATTTATTGCAGAAAAAACTGTTCACATATATAAGTTGTAGGAAATAATGATAGAATTTTTGCTGCATACTTCCTTAAGATGGGAAATTGATATATTTATTAATATTTTGTGCAATGTGGGCCACGGGTTGCCCATCCCTGGTCTACTGCAATTCATCTGTCCACAACACCTTTAATTTATTGGCAGTCCAAGAACGATGCTCTTAGTACCCTTGCAGGCACTGCTGTTCATTTACAGCTGTGATGGCTGCACACTGTATGGATGGTTCCAGTGCTAATGGATTTTCCAATAACTTGTAAGATCTGAACAACTATTTTGATGGACAATGAACATGATGCCTTCATACCTTGTACAAGGTATTGTTGCTCCTGTTTAATCAGTTTGAGGTCTCCCCAAATATGGCTGCACTGTATAGGAACCAGTTACTTTTCACGTCTGAATAACATTGCCGACAATGGCCTGTACTGATTGTGTGCTTGGGTGATATTCCACTACCGTCACCTGATGGAAGTCTGTCACCTTTGCCTCGCATACTATCTCAACAGTATCTGTGCCACGAGATGTCTGTATGATATTCTCTTTATACTTACTGCTTGTGGACTCCTGGATATAAATTAAAATAGTTTCATATTCTATTTGCGTGAGAGCATGGGATCAGGGAGTGTCCTAGTACTTGTTGACATAGTATATTTATCAATTACGCCAGATTTCTTGAAGGAAAATGCACAACTTATCAATAGATATTATCCGTACATTTTAATGTAATGGTACTTTCATAACAGGGATTGAATATATTATAATCTGTATATTTACTACAAAAATATTATGATTAAAATAATAGTAATTTATTATTTATGATCTTATTACATAAATTCAAAGTTTAGAAAGGCTAATATATTAAATTTTGATTTTTTTGTAGTAATGTATATTGCTGTCTAAAAGTTAAGCAATGTTTTTTAGAGAAATATGCCATAGTAAATAGACAAATTTCATCACTATTTAATAAAAAAACTGGTGTACTTAAAATATATATATATTTTTTTTTTGCGTTCTGTTTCCTGTAAAGAATTTATAAATTTTTTTTATAATTGATCATTATTAATGGGATCATACTGTATATTTGAAAGTATGTGTATGTTTCTTAATTGTTAATATAAATCGTAATGAAAGTGAATTAATATGAGAACATTTTATAAATATATCAATTTATAGATATATAGTAAACAGCAATTCTAGTTCAGTTTGTAATAGCCAAATATCTACAAGTCAGAAATTAAGCCATACTCATGCTTAACTTTTAGATATCAATATAAGCAATTTGAAGAAATTTTGAACTTCAAAACTGATAACAATTAGGATCCTTTAGAATGATTATAATTTGCTAGGAATAATGCATTGAAGAAATAGTTACAAAAGATATTATCAGAATAAATCTAAAATATATTTATCATTGCTATGAAATATATATTTGTCATAAATTTAACAGAAATTAAAATTTTAAAATATAAATTTTTAATGTTTTAATTCTGTTTATATACAGTATGTTATTGCCAATTTGAGCTAATTATTGTACAGGGTTATTCAGATTAACAAAGTTATTTTTATGAAGAACAGGACATGAAAATGGACTGCAGACATACAGTACATGTATATTAAAAAAAAAAAAATTGATAGTGAATTTATATTTATATTAAAAGTCTAATACATATTCTTTTACAAAATATTTATGTTTATAAAAAAACAATCTGATTTATTTTTGTTTTTAGAAAGAACATTTAACTGAAAAAGTAATAAAGTTTGTTGGATTAGTGAGAGTGCACTATATTTGTTTTTGTTGATAACATTCATTTGTTATTATTTCTTCAATGAACTGATTTCAACCTTTATACTTCTCTGGAATAAATATTTTTATATAAAGTTTATTCTAACATTTTGCTTTCTACATTTCAAGTTCTGTTTTGGAAATTATAAGATGGAAAATGAGCTGATCACTTGTTTATAATTTTTTTTATTTTTGTCATTAAAATCATTTAAAATATATTTTATTTAAACAACTATTCCTCAGGCCGAAATGGATCCAAATACATGTCTAGAACTTGCTTTAGAAGGTGAAAGACTATGTAAAGGTGGTGATTTCCGTAGTGGTGTTGCATTTTTTGAGGCAGCAATTCGTATAGGAACAGATGATTTAAGAACTCTTAGTGCTATTTATAGTCAGTTGGGAAATGCATATTTCTACCTTGGAGATTATGCAAAGGCAATGGAATATCATAAATGTGATCTCACTGTAGCAAGGTAAAAATATTCAATTTTTTTTTTTTTAATTTCTGTTTGTTCATTAATTTTAGCTAAGATGAATTAATTTTTTTAAACACACAGCTAAAATTATTTTGATTTTATAGAGCTATAGGTGATGAATTAGGAGAGGCAAAGGCAAGTGGAAATTTAGGAAATACATTGAAAGTAATGGAGAAGTATGATGAAGCTATTGTTTGCTGTCAAAGACATTTGGATATATCTAGAGAATTAAATGATAAAGTAATTTTATTTAATTAAATATTTAGAACATCCTTATATTTTTTGAAACAAGAACTACATTTTATAAAGTATTAGCTCTTGTATAGATTCTTTATTAACTAAATATTTTGATTTTAAAATTTGATATCTATCAGTTATGAATAATCAATTATACTATGGTTATTTAATAAGAATTAATGTTAAAAATGTTAAAGAATAACTCTGTATTCTAGTTTAAAGTAGATATCATTTAGTCACTGCAGATATCAAAGTAGATATCATTTAGTCACTAGTTTAAAGTAGATATCATTTAGACAAAGTAGATATCAAATATATTATTTAAATCATTTTTTAATTTCTAAGTATTCATTTTTAGTACTTTGTGAATAATTATAGAAATATATTGTATAAATTAAAATAATCTCACCAATTATCTGTTTTTTTTTCACATTAGTATAAGCTATAAACATTTTAAAAATGAATTACCAAACTTTTCTAAAATATCTAATTTAATTATGCTAATTATATTAATGATCTACAAATTTGGATTGCAGATAAGCATGTTGCTGTTTGTTGGAAATTTTAATTAGTAAATTTGAATTAATTTAATAAAATATTGATATTTATGGAAAAAATTTATTCAGAGCAGTATTTGAATGTATAATTTGTTTAAATTGTACCAGCTATACATTTTATATTACAAGCAGAAACTAATATCTTTATTAATACCAAATATTGTATTAAACTAATAATGGATATCTAAATAAGTTGCTGTAAATGTAAGCCTATGGACTTACTCTTGGATACTAGACTTAATTTTGGGACTGTGCTGTCAAAAGCTGTCCACTGACATTCTCATTGGAAAGCTTTTGACACTGCAGTTTCAAGACTGTCTTGAAGTCAAAGCAAACACATCATTTAAAGTTGTATTTGGATACTAATGGGAGAGTTAGTTACCAGTGGACTCAATGAATTTGCACTGAATAGGTATAGATGATGACCAAAATGAGAAACTATTTTGAAGCTCATTTCCAATTGCCTTCGTATATATATATAAAAAGAATCAATTATAAAATGTTTTGAATCCTGTGGAATAGCTGAAAATGGATATCGTATCTGTAGGAAAAATCACTGGGTTTAGATCAGCATTCAGGTAGAATCAGGAGAATTAAAACAAAAATTATATTGAGATATAGGAAATATGATGATGAAATTGATGGATATTATGATATTTCTGAAGATTAATATAATTTTTATAAATAAAAAAGTTTTTAAAGAAAACTTTGATTTATTTTTGTCATCAGCATTTCACACTCAGATTGTTTAGTTTCTCTAATTAAGCCCAGAGCTTATTTACAGAAATATCTGCGGTATTAATTGAAATATAATACAATCATCATGGTGGTTTATGATGATGCTAATCATTAATTACTGAATTTGAAGTTTAATGGATTTTGTAGATTGAAATGCTTAGCATATTGATACTAACCACCTCAATTAGTGCTGTGTTGATAACTGATGTATCAAATTGAAACCAATACAGTGCATTCTTACTAATCTAACATATATGGAACCAGAACAGTATTCAATTGCCAGATTCTTGGAAATAAAGTGGATTCAGTAACACAAAAAAATTTGACAGCATGGAGTCAATTGTTAATGAAGCAGCAAAACATAAGTTGGACTACTGAAAGTGCTACCTTCACCAGCAATCTATATTGCCAAATTGTGAATTAAAGCTAAACCATTTTATCACTACATTTAGTGGGAGGTAGAGTATTCTTAGTGGGAAATTTTGACAGACTAATTTTTATATTTATACAGTAATATGTTATAAGATACTGTATTTTTTTTGTTAACCTTAGATGACAAGCCTAACAATCTTTAATATTGTGTCCATGCTTGGGCAATATGCTATATTTACTGAGAAAGTGTTCAAATTTAGTGGGAACTGGAGTTTGAACTAGTAGGAAGCTTGTCTATGATCCGATAATGTACAAGTCAATTAGTGTTGGACATGTCAAACTAGCAAATTGCCAGATTACTGAAATTGTAATGTATATTTTACAATATTAATATTGTAAAAATTTATTTTGGTTTACTGCATCAGTTATTGGTACAGCACTAATTTTGAGAACTTCAACAAGTCCATCCAGAATTTTTAATACTCTAGTGCTATTTTCTGATATCTGAGGAAATTATTATGTTGCAACTTGTAAAGTTGATGATTATTAATATTTGGCATTGTCAGTAAAAAAATCTGTATTTTATTGGATTCAATATTTATCTAGAATATCAATATTCTAGATAAGTACCAAATATTGATATAAATATTGTAAACATTAGTTTCAGTTTGATAGATTGGCTATTGGCACAGCACTATCAGTAATTTTCAGCACTTACTATCAAAATTTTTTATTATTGATATATTGGGAATCTCCGTATCAAATCTGATATAGATATCAAAATTTTGGTTTAGCACAACCCTAATTTCAATCTACAGACTTGTTACAGTGATAAATGACTACTATGATTATATTCTATTTAAAAATTTATACCTAGATAGTTTCCATGTGTGGTTCATATGACATAACTCATTACATTACACTTTGGAGTTGAAATTCAAATCTTGCTCCAAATGGGTTTTTTTCAGATTATCAGTAATAATTAGTAAATTTAAGTTTCTAAGAAAAGATGGCATCTACTTGTTTTCTAAATTCATAGATTTAATTTTTTGATTGTTGTAATTAGCCAAATTAATCTGGATATTTCAGCACTATTTGGAATTAATTTATTAAATATCGGCATTGTTGCTCAGTTTATATATTTTAGAAAGCTGAAATTTCAAATGATTACCGTATTGAATTCAATTTATTAATTGAAATACTTTTCAATTAAGTTTTTTTGCTTATCATTAGTAATTAAAAATTTAAAATATTTATTTGAATTTATAACAACTATTTCAATTAAAATTTGAAATATTTATTCTATATATTATTCATTAAAAAATTATTGATAATTTTTGAAATATCAATTATGGTAAATGAAAATAAAAAATGAAGTTATATTTTAGACTTGTAAAGGAAAAATGCTCAGATTCTGTTTGAATTTCAGATTTTTCAGCTATTAGAATAGTAAATTTAATCATATGTTGTGCTGTTACAACTATGAAATTAAAATTAATTTCATATATAACATTATTCTAAGTTGCTTTTGCAAATTGTTTTCCTGTTACATTAAAACAAAAGTAGCAATATTTAAAATATTTTTAGCTCAATTTGATTTATAATAAAGTTGATTCATTTTTATGATTAATAACAACACAAATGAAAATCCATATTTTGGTATTTATTTGCAATCGAAATGATTCATTCTCAGTTACGAAGATATTTTCTAAAAATTTTATGCCAATACACAAAGTTAGACCTAAAAGAAATATAAAATGAACATCAAAAAAGATACCATTAAAATATTATGCATAGATGTTTTCATAATTTCATTAAATACTGCTTAAATAATTTAATAAAACTCAATTTTTTAAAATCAAATCAAAAAGTATGGTGGTAAAAATTAATTATTATGAGTAGTAACATTAAAAAGTGAATTATTTTTATTTATTTATTTATTTTTGTTTTGTTTATTTTAGTGTACTAAAACTTTTCTAACAGTCAAATATTTTTTAATCTTATTTTCATAATAAAATTATTTTATGTAGTTATTATTTTGTTATTTGAATAATAAATTTAATTTTAAATTAATACCTTTTAGTAAAGAAATAGTTTATTTATTATTGTTAGTTTTTATTATTTGTAAATAAATATTTATTTTTTCTGAATGAAAATATACTGTATTTTTTTAATAAACAGCACCTCTAATAGTATGATAAATGTTCTGTCTATTGGAGGAAGGAAAGACTTATTATAAGCTGAAAAAATCACACATTTTATTCCACACCGAAAAACAAAACAATACCTAACACACTTGTACAATTCAATATATTGAATTACGGTATGAGTGTGTTAGGTATTATTTTGTTGTATGAATAATAATAGTGAAAAAATTACCAGATAATATTTACATTCAATTTCCGAAGAATAAAATTAATAGTTTCCCTCTGATAAACAGTGCAGTTGCAAGCTGGAAAAAAGTTATAGACAGTGTGCTATTTATTAGAATAAGTATAGTATATATAATTTTTTCAAAAATTTGCATTTATATTATTTTTTGTCTTTAATAAATTATATTCACTATAGTTCTACACAGCAAAAGAGTAGATGAGTCAGCCTGAGCTGGAAGAGTTTATGTCAGATTAAAAGGAGAGAAAGAGACATGATTAATGTGTAATATTAGAATTAAAAGTAAGTAATAAAATTTGTAAAAAAATAAAGCAATAAAATTATTTATGATAAAGATGGTATAAAAATGTTGTAGAAATGTAAAAAATAAAATAGCTGAAAGAGATCAGATTCATGTCTTTCTCCATCCCTTTCATCCGACAGATCCTTCCAGCTTAGGTTGACTCCTGTCTACTTTTTTACTGTGCAGACTATAATTTATTCTTAACCAGTTTTAATTGAAAAAAAATTAAAAATTTTGATCAACATTAAATGCACATTTAAAGAACTGCAATGTCATTAACTGCCTTAAACTTAAGGTTTTTGTTATAAAGTTATTACAAATTAAATTAGTCAGAGATCTAAATAGTAATTTCATAAAAATTAAATAAATCTCTAATTTTAATGATTACAGTACATACACATAATATTGCCTATCAATTATAATTTAAAATCTTATTTCTTTTTCATATTTATTGGCATGAAAATTAACATACAAGGAAAACAAAAACTTGGATAATTCATGTAAAACAGCGATTCCCAACCTGTGGTACGCGTACCCCTAGGGGTACGCGATAGGTTGTTTAGGGGTACAGAAAAAAGTTAGCTATTATGGCAGAAAAAATAATATATTATGTATCACAAACTAATAGTATTAAAAAATTATTAGATAAATAATGTTCCTTG